CTGCAGGCGCTCTCAATTAGCCCTGCCTGCCTGGAATTCGGGCCTAATGACTCTAAATTCGTCCTGAAACCAAGGCACGGTTACGTACCTACAGTGCTCTCCACTTCGTTCAGAGCATAGGTCATTACGCTCTCCGCGCTTCCTCCAACTGAAGAGGACAGAGAGCTATCTCTGCTCTGCCCCGTCAGAGCGTTGAGAATCTATATTGAGCGTTCCGCTCCCTATAGGCGATCGGAACAACTCTTTGTCAGCTTCGGTAACCGCACCAAAGGGGTTCCGGTTATGAAGCAAAGACTCTCTAGATGGATAGTAGACGCCATCTCACTAGCATACTCTTCCTTGGGCCTTCAATGCCCCATTGGAGTACGGGCCCACTCAACTAGAGGCATCGCCTCGTCATGGGCATGATCCAGTGGTGTGTCCATTGCGGATATTTGTGAGGCGGCCGGCTGGGCCTCGCCGTCCACATTTGCGAGGTTTTATAACCTGGAAGTCCCGGCCTTACAGGCCAGGGTCATTTCCGCTTGAAATGGTACGCACTGCATAAACGGACATGACAGAGAGCCCTTGGCCATACCGCGCCCAAGTTCTCTGCCATTGTTCACCTGTTGGCTCTCGACCCCTGGGTCTCAAAGTTACGGGTATACTCTGGAACGATTAACCAGGCTGGGTGTGACCTAGAAAGCTCAGTCCACTTTAGCCTTGGGTTATTGTTGACTTCTCTATAAGCATTGGTTGCTTATGGAAGTTATACCTTTAGTCGTTCCACTACATTAGCACGGCGTGATTGGACTGTTCCCATATGCGTCTTAAGCAAGACGCAGTACAAGTGAAGTATCGAAAGGGAACCTGATTGAGACCCCCATATTCCACACTCCAGTATCCGATGAGCTCTGAGTGGGCTGTCCACAGGTGGATCTCCTCATTGGTCAGTCTGAGGAAGACAGCGTTGAGATGCGGCTGGATGTAATAGGTGCGGAACTCATAGAAGGTTCCGTGCTGCTGTAGCTGCCAGTAGCCCCTCACTGCAGAACAAAGATCCAGGAGGCGGGGCGTCTAGCAGACGCAGTACTCGTTCCCGTATCTCAGGGAACCGAGGTTACGTTAGTAACCGAGTACGTTTCTTCATCTAGCTAGGCTGCGTGTTACTTACAACGGGGTCGAAAGGCAGTTCAACTCACCATATATGGCTAAAGCATCTAAAGCATATTTACAGTCTCTTCAAAGTGTATCAAGTGATTCTTGAATG